AAGGCAGGCATCATCTGAGAGGCGAAAAACCTATGGGAGTTGGCATCTGGGAACTCAGGAAAGCTGAATCCACCTTGAAATGAGGTAGAAGGATCCAGGACATTGAGGCCCATGGAGGGGAGACCTGGAGGAAACATGGATATGGAACCATCAGCTATTTTAAGGAATTATATTTACTTGTTGCATGTGGTTCCAGAGGGTAAAGACAGTTGTGGGAAGCCAGTTGGGCAGTTTGAGCTATAGTATGCTCCCAGAATGATGTACTGAGCTGCCCTGGGAGAGCAGGCAGGATAAGAGGTGAGCTCTGTGTTAACAGTGTGCTCAAGCAACAGCTCCTGAGTGAAGAGGAAATGCTTCTGTGGGATGTCAGTTTGGACTGAACTCTCATGTGATTGGTGACATTGCCAAGACCGCTTCTTCCTTCTTGGGCACATGGATTTATTGAGAAAATATTGTTACCTGTGTTGTTTTTAACAAGGTTCTGTGTTGGAGGAAAAGGAAAAATTGGAGAAAATGTCAAGATTTTCAGCTTAGAGAAATGAGCAGAGGTGAAACTACTGTCCCAGATGAAGAGTAGAGGAAGGGGAAAAAGATGCTCAGGGATCTGAACAGAGTCATCTTTTATGATGGGAGAAGTGCTTTAGAAGGTCTGTCCCCTTTCTGAGGGATGTTCCTCACTGACCCCAGGTTGGGGCTGGCAGGGCCATTCCCAGGTCTCCTACTGAGTCCAGGAGAAGATTTAGGCCTCTGAAGAGACTGACTCACAGGAAGAGAAATGCTTAGAGTTGAGTGGCTTACAAAGAGTTACAGACTTCCCAATAATTCTGATGGGTTGCCTGGTATGGGAGTGGAGATGGGGTTTCGGGAGGGGAACCTGGTGTGCACAGAAAGACAGGCCTACTAGGAGAGTGTGAAGTGTCTGGTTACCGGACCTGGGATAGTTAGCAGAATGAAGTGGCAGGTGGGGTGCACAGTTTGCAGCCACTGTGTGAAAGGCGTTGTGTGCTGTGCCCTTTACTGATTACTGTCATTCAGAATAATGAGAGAATTCTGGAAGGTCAGTTTGGACAGTTAGATGGCCGAGGCTTAGAGTCAGGACTGATGAGGAAGAGGCTGTTGTGAGTGCCCAGGTGAGGGATGAGGAATTCCGATGGAGCACTGTAGTAGAGAGATGGACAGGCAGGAATGGAGTAGGCCAGGATCCTCTGCTGGACTAGGGTACCCAACCCTGGGCCAGAGAGCAGTAGCACCCATCAGGGGGAGGGGACCTGCCAGAGCACTTCTCTTGGACCACTGTTCTGCGGGTGATGGAGAGAACAATGGCATGTCTGACCAAGATGGGGAAGGCAGGGGAAGGCAGGAAAGTGCTGATGGGTTACAGAGGAGTTGGTACATCGTGAGGGCCATCTCCACCAGACTAGAGGGCCCAACCCTTTTGTGCTCATGCCCTCCACGAAGTATCTCCATTGGCAATGGATGAAGAGGTTGGCAGACTGTTGGTTGGCATTTTAATGCTTTTCCTGAATTTCTGCTCAGTCAGGAGAGCGACTGGTATTGTATGTTCATTCATACTCTAGCCTTCCGCTTTGCAAAAAGATATTTTAAAAACCGGGGCAAACGCTGGAGCTCACTGGATTTAGCATCTGTGACATGGTCTTCAGCTGGTAGAAAAGTGTGACTTCCTTTATAAAGTTCTTTAAGGAGAGGAAAAAAATGTGAAATTGTAAGGTTACTGGAAGATTTGCTTTGAGTCTCGAGTTTTGTGTCTACTTCAGTCCTGCCACCTCTGCTTCATCATAGGAAGAAACCAGGAGTCAGGGTGGGTTTCTGCACCTGTTTCTTCTGGGGAACAGGGCTCAAGTAGCAGCTGTGATTTTTGAGTCCTTGTGTCAGAGCTTTGAAAGGGTTAAAGATGTACTGAGACACTGATCCCATCCATGCCTTTGGGTGGCCAAGTACCCTTGTCTGTTACTTCAGTAGTCCACACAGATCTCACCTCTTTGTGTGTGTTACCATGTGAAAATATGTAGGAAACACTGCCTTGGACCTGGCGTCAGCAAACCTTTCTAGTAAAAGGCCAGACAGTGAGTATTTCAGGCTTTATGGACCACCTGGTCTCTGTTGTAACTACTCAGTTCTGCCACTGTAGCACAAAAGCAGCCATAGACACTGTGTAAATAGAAAGCATGGCTGTTTTTAAATAAAACTTTACTTACAAAAATAGCAGGCCATATTTTGTCAACCTCTGCCTTTATAGAGATAACTTACCCTTTGGCGTAATCGTGACTGGAAACTTCCTATCTGCTGCCCAAACCCATTTATTTCCCCAAAAAGGCTTCCTGAGCATCTCATCTGTGTGAGCGCCGAGGATGAGGAAGATGTTGTAACTGCCCATAGGGGACTTAGGTTTTGAGTGACAGGTGGGACAGTGGTTGCTAAAGAGCAAATTACAGAACAGGGCTCAGGGAAGTCCAAGGTGATAGAGGCTCAGGAGAGAAGGGCTCCTTCCTAGGAGGCAACTCTGGAGGGGAGTCTTAGGAGGGTGTGCTTCTCCAGGAAGAGGAACAAGCCCAGATGATGGATGAGATTGTCTAACAGTGAGAACTTTGGTGTAGTTGTGCAGGTGCATGGGGGTCAGCTTGTGAAGGGCCTGGAGTGCCAGCCTGAGAAGCATGGACTTACTCTCTGGGCAGTGGGGAGCCATTGGGCAGTTGTGCTCAGGAGGGTAAAATGAACACAAATGCATGTTAGAAATGTAACTCTGGTCATGGAAGACCATGTCTGTGGTTACAAATTTTATCTTCCAGTGTAGTTTGGACTTCTAAGCCAAGAGATTGGTTACTCTTGGTACTAGAATGGGGTCCAGAGAACTGGATGGCTTTTCTGACCACTTTTTGTTTTTCAGGCTTAAGTCGGTCAGTGAGCACCCCACCTTTATTTTGACATGTTGCTTCTTCAGGCTTTTTCTCTCCTGCTATTCTAAAGATCACCCAGAAGGGTGAGATAAATGAAACATTGTCTTAAATCTAATTCTGGCTTGGAGTCTTGGAATATGAGGGTAAAATGGTGGGGACAGGCTCCCCCTGGCTTCAGAATCAAGTCTTATGGCAAGAAAGCTTTATGAAACAGATGCTGGACTCTCCTCTCCAGAAACCTACAAATTAAGGCATGTTGAAGCAACTGCTGTTCAGGACCATCACAGACTGCTCTGGGCTGAGCCTGACATTGGGTGTAGAGGAGACTGGTGAATCAGACAATGGTGCTTGCCCCGAGGAGAGCTCAGTGTCGTTGGGACAATGGAAAAACCCATAAATGTTTGTAGTGCTTTTTATTCTGCAAGGTCTTTTTCCCTCAGAGGCGTTTCTAGACAGGTTGAAGGGAGCTACCATTTAGAGGGTTGGTGAAGTACCAGGGGATGGTGAAGTACCAGGGATGTGAGCTGTTGACACTCTCTGTTAACATGCGTAACAGCTGGGAGTAGCTGCTGTCACTGTGGGGTGAGAGAAGCACAGTGTCTGCTGTGGCAGGGCGGGTAGGGCTGGAGAAAGACAACCTATTACAGGTGCCTCCACAAGCACTTTCGGTGAAGGTCCAGCAGCCCTGTTGGGTAGGTGAGGGTCACGTACAGCTCAAAGGAGGGAAGGCACCTGCACAATGCCCTGGAGCTGGTAGTGCTGTTCTGCATGGTGACCACCTTCCGCAGGGCCCTCTGGGACTAAGTCAGAAGGGGAGGGCCATGTTGCTGCCCCAGCACAGTGAGGCCAGGTGTGGGGAGGGCATTAAGGTGTGCCCTGCCTAGACTGCTGTCTGTCAGTCCCTGGGGAAGCAGGAAGCCACTGAAAACTCAAGTAACTGGATGTTGCTTGCTCCCAATGAAGTTATATTTGATGATTTCTGACAATCAAGTGAGGGTTATGCAAGGAAAATGTCACTGAGAAATTGCCGCTGCCAGACATGGTAGCTGCCACCGTTAGACTTGTCTGGCCTTCTCTCTGGTAGGGATGTGCCCCTTGAGCTTTGCTGCCTGGTCTCCGTCTTAGGGACATGTAGTAGATCGCAGGCTCTGACAGTAGGTGTGAACTTCTCATCTCTAAGAAAGGAGCACTCCTTGCATTTTCTAGAGAAGTTTCTAGGTTTATGGAAGGGAAGGTGACAAACTGGAGCCTGCCACAGATAGACTGGGCACTGGCTTTGGTAAAGAGAGTGCAGCCTGTCCCTGGCTGTGATGCCAGGTGTGGCCTTTCATCTGGCAGCAGGTCACATGCTGCAGCTCCACCTTCCTAAGAAGGCTCTTGTCTGTCAGGCACTGTAGTTACTTCCAAACTGGAGTCGAGCCCAACCCTGCCCCAGGGTGCAGGTACATGTGCATTGCCATCCTTCTCATTCTCCTGCCTAGGGAAACATGGTGGTCAGAGTTTCTTTGACTGCAAGCTAAGTATTTCAGCTGCTTCGGCAGTAAGGTTGGTTTTTTTTTTGTTGTTGTTGTTCATGAAACTGAATCAAGAATAGGAACAGGGGTTTCATACGCTAAGAAGTTTCTTCTCCAACCTGTAATTTAGAAAGTTGCATTAGGTTTAAAGCCTCTTTCTTCTGGGTAACTCATGCTCTCTACCCTCCAGGGATTTGGTGTGGTGAGTCAGTAGCAAGACCCCTTGATCCAGACGTATGCATTTCCTTGGTACATTCATGTCGCTTTCCAAGTCTCCGTTTGTAGGCATCACTTCACTGGCTCCCTCAGGCTGCAGCTCTGACCCCTTTGAACCCTGAGGTTATGATGATGGCTGATGAGGTATGACTTGGAAGTATCCAGGCAAGCCCTGGTTCTCAGAATACCTCTTCTATCACTGACACCAGGCCAGAAGTGCTGCTATTAGACACAGCCCTCTCCCTACCCCTGAGCAGCTTGTGTGCTCAATCAGCCCAGTGCAGTCAGGTTGAACTCACTCTGTACCCCCCACTTCTTAAAAGGGGTGTTGAGCACTCGTTTTTTTTTTTTTTAGCTCTCTTAACATGGGATCTGCCATAGCTGTTGGAGATTCTTGGCTACTATTCCTGGCCTTTCCTGGAGAGGGAGACTCATTCAGAAACCCTGTCGGAGAGCCAAATTGTAGGCATCCTCAAGGCCCGACTGGGGTCTTCACTGTGTCTCCCAGGAATCCAGCGTGGCTCCAGCTCTCTGGTGAGCTGTCTCCAGCTCCACATGGACTTCCTTTCCAGCATATCAAGGCTTATGTAGGCAAAGTGAAAGCCGATCCAGGTGGTAGTCCCCTGCTGCTGTTGCTTCCTTGGGCAAACATCATGTACTTTAGCCCCCCCCCCCCCCCGCAGTATTTATCTTGTTTTTCTCAAAGCATCTTTGAACTCAGGCCTTTCACCCTGTACCTATCTGTTTGGCCTGTTGTGCTAAGCCTCTGGTCTAAGTGGCTGGTTGGGCCCAGCCACTTCTTTAGAGGAAGTCTCCTGAAGTAGCCGTAATTAGAGTGAGTACACTTCCAGGAACAATGGAGCTAAAGGGCCTGGTCCCAAGGATGCTTTGGCAGAGGGCTCTGAGAAGGGGCTGGCTTGGGACCAGGCTCAGACCCTTAGCCCCATGTCTTTGCATCCTGGTCTACCTGCCATGTAGTGTTCTTGGAGGACTTGCTTCTCACCTGCTCCAGGCAGAACTCTGGGAAGGAGGTGGGAGGTGTAACCAGTCTAGACCTGAAATCCTATTCAGCAAGGGGCTTCACTCCCACTAAGGAGTAAGGGCCCTGCTCAGCCTCAGCCCTTCCTTGGCCCCAGGATGGAGGTGTACGAGTCAAGGAAAAGACTGAGCAGTCATGGTTAGAAAACCTTTCCCTACTGTACGGTTGCACACATGACACTGGACTCCTGGCTGTAGCTCACTTAGGTCTGGTGATGGCCAAGTTCGTTTTTAGAAATCTGTTTAACTTGTCATGTATCTACTTACTGTGTTTTTCTGAATACTCCAGTGTAAATAGTCTAATTTGCAGTGCAAAGTCCTTGGCAATAACTTTGTGTATTATGTCAAAAAACGCTGGAAACCACGACCACCATGGATTGTCCTTCCCCTCTGGGGCTATTACTACATGTAGGACTCTGAACCTTGAACCTTCGGCGTGGTTGAAGCAGCAGCCTACATGTGTGGACTGTCATCAGTGCCTCGCCCAGAGATGCCTGGCCTTCATCCAAAGGGACCCTGCTGCCCCGACTCCCGCAGGCAGCGCCCACACTGTGGCTCCTTTGCACTGAGTATGTTGGACTCTGCCATAGACTGACCCTCTTGTCTGGCTACTGCAGTTTGTCTGTAATGCCCTGACATGTTGCATATTCCCCATCTGAATAAAAATAAATGCTTCTGTCTTAAACAGTAATGGGCTGAAGTGTTTTGTGCAGGACCCACTTCGGTAAAATGAAGATCCCGCTTTGATGAAAGGTTCAAGCACAGGCCCCCTTTTCTTGGCCCTTAAGACTCTAGCTCAGTACATGTGACAGGATCTTCCCTTTAAGCTAAGGGATGAGGGACTGTGGAAACTTGAAGGAGGGTAGCATGGCTTTTGATAATGACTGGTGGTTTGGGCAGGGTGGGGCCAGGGCCCAATTCATGCTCTTGTGTATGGTGCTTAAAACTGCTTCTCTGTCAATGGTGCAGAAAGTTTACTCAAAATGAAACTTGAGCCTGGCAGGTTGGCACGGTGAGCAGTAAGTTACGTAATGTGGAATCCTAAGCCTCAGAATGTACCAGCTGCTTTTCACACACCTTACTCTTCGTCCTTATACCTGTTCCCAGGGGTTAGCAATACCCAGACATTACAGACCAGGGAACTAAGGCTCAGAGGTAAAAGGCCCTCTCCAAGGGTGTGGAGCTTCTAGACAGCAGCAGCAACTGGAATCCAAAGCTGAAGCTCCTCCTGCTGCTGCCGGGTACAACCTCTACCCCCACCCCCGCGAGGCTCATGAAGTTGAGCTGTCCTGGCAACATGGAGAGCCTGGGACCACAGCTATGAATAAGGCCAAGGAATGTGCTGGCGGCCAAGGGAGGTGGTCTGGGCGGGTGCCAAGCCAGGAGCTACTGCTACTGCCGTGACCTCCAGGTAAGTGGAGAGCTGCATGAACCATGGCACTGGGTGTTTTTGCCTCATGTTAGAACTCAGGGCTCTACCTTTTCCCTATACACCATCAGTCTGGGTTGACAGCATTCTAGAACTGACTGAAAGAAGAGCTGCCTGGGCCAGCCCTCTGCTGTTCCCGTTCTCTTTCCCAATCTGCCTTTCTGGGCTTGAGTGGTAGCCAGGCTTTCTTGTCCACCATGGCACAGGGCTCAGCCCACAGGAGACAGGTTGTTGCCGTGGAAATGGAGGAGAGGAAGGAGGGGGCACTGTTTTTCTTCCTCTCAGGCCCTGGAAGAGAAGGTGGAGATGGTGGTACATGGCAGGAAAGACTAAACTCCCGGATGGTGCAGTCACAGGAAGGCCTTCACCTTCACTTTCAAATCTGGGAGTCACATCACCTAACTCCTGGGTGAATTGGAGGGAGAAGAATGCTTGAGATGAGCCAAGCATACATGGGAGAGCTCAGCAACCCCTGTGAGACAGGCACTGAACCTGCTGCACAAAGAAGAGAACTCAGAAAGGTTGAGATGTGCATCTAAGGTCATAGCCTGGCCTTGAACCCCGACTTTCCATATGTGTTGCTTGCGGTGAAGTGCTGTGACAGTTTATGCCCATGTGCCGCCTGCACTGTCATCCTAAAGCGGCTGCTCTGGTTACTGGACTTAGAGGTGTGTGTTAACACCCCTGCTATGTGGGCTGGGCCGAGAGCCTCTCTCAGAGCTCTCATCTCTTCACCTATAAAATGGGGGCAGGAGAGAACTCAGCGCTTGAGTCTGTTCTGGGGGTGCCACAGTCATTCTGGGTGGTTCCAGTCCTCATGTCTGTCTTCTCCAGCTCCCCTGTCCTCTCTTCACCCTCAAATGAATCTTAGAAGAGGATTTGTATCCCAGTGTGAGAATAAGGCACCTCTCTGAGCAGCAAAGTGACTCTCTCCCAGGCTACGAGGTATGCATGTCACCTACTGCACTCCTCTCTGCATAGGCTCTGGTTTTCGCAACCGGGAATTCTGTTCTGGGCTTATTTTGGGTTCCTGTGGCTCTTCCGTTTCTTCTCACTCCTCACTCCCTGTGTCTTGGACTTGGAATTCAGAACAAGTGCACAGACTCTGGGGCCGATATCCTCTTGCCTTTCAGTCTGAGCCTCTTGTCCCTGCTGAGAATCATGACCAAGGCCCTGGAGATCAGCTTGGGTTGCAGCAAGGCCTGCTGACAGCCCCCTCAACCTGCAGTGTATTCCCACTGACTTCACGAGCAGCCCTAAGAGCACAGTCAGGACAAAGCATGCCCAAGGTTGGAACCAGAGTCTGAGCTTCCTGGCATAACTGCTCTGCTCTTCCTGCCTCAATTCCCTCCGACCACTGGCCTTGTGTACCCACTTCCCTCACACCAGCCTTCTTAGAATCTACACTTGCTTGTTTCTGTTTCTTACCCTCCCATACTCCCCCCCACCAAAACCCACTGTGGTGGGCCACTGTCCCAGCAACCTCCCAACTGCCAAATCCAATGAACAGTTTCTGCAGTTTCTGGTCCTACCTTTACCCCAAGGTAGCTCATTTTCTTCTCTGGCTGTCTACACTTCTGTTCTCTGTATTCTCCTTTGCCTCTTTATTGGCGGCCTCTGGACATTTCTTGGACAGTCTCTCCAGTCACCAAGCTTCAGCTTGTTTGAGTAATGGTTCTCAACTGGTGTGATTTTGCCTTCCTGGGGAACAGTGGCAATACTGGAGATATTTTTAGTTGTGAGAGTTGGGTGGGGTGTGCACTACTCGCCTCCAGTGGGTAGAGGCCAGAGATGCTGCAGGACAGACCCCACGGCATAGAATCATCAGCCAAACTGTCAATAATGTTGCGGTTCAGAAACCCTTTGCTAGAAATGCTGGGCCAACTCCTGAGAAACTTAGATTCCCTATGTCTCCAACCTCAATGTTCCAGGCTATCTCAGATCCATACACTGAAAGGTAAATTTGTGTTCCTGGTCTGTCCTCACCCTCACTGACTCTGTTCTCTATCCTATCATCTATCACCTTTATTCACACCCTAATTTCTCTTCCTCCCAATTTTTCTTCCTAAAAGATCGGTAGGGAACTGCTCAAAGCACAAGTTGGTTTAAAACTCCAGTGCCTCCCGATCCCCTCCAAATTCCCTGGTATGGCCCCAACCTGATTATTCAGCTTCTTCTCTCATCACCCCGTCTCAACCAGACTACGGTGCTCAGGACTGTTCTTCCCATCTAAATGCTTCCCTCTTGCTTCTCTACTCAGCAAATTCCCTAGCTGTCAGAGACAGTGAAAAAGCTACCACTTGGTTCCACGCAGTTAGATTTAACTTCCATGTTCCCACAGGAGCCCATATGCTTGTACAGTACTTAACATGCTTAACGTGTCAAAATTATTATTTTGAGTTGGAGTCTCATTCTGTTGCCCATACTGGAGTGCAGTGGCATGCTACCGGCCACTGCAGCCTCGACCTGCTGGGCTCCTGCGATCCTTCCGCCTCAGCCTTCCAAGTAGCTGGAACTACAGGTGTGCACTACCACACCTGGCTAATTTTTGATTTATTGTAGAGAATGAGGTCTTGCCAAGTTGCACGGGTGGGTCTCAAACCCACGGCCTCAGGCAATCCACTCTCCTCGGCCTCCCAAAGTGTTGGGATTACAGGCTGAGCCACTGAGCCCGCCTTATTGACTCCTTTCTCTGGGCCAGTACACAGCTGCAGGAATAAGGGTTTCTGCTGCATCCCTACACTTCTGAACATAAGAGTGGAATGGAAAGTATAGAGCAGGCTGGCCAGGAATGTGGACCCCAGAAATATGTCCCCCAGCCTGAAAGCTCTGAACATCAAAGGGGCCCCCAACTGTGCTCTGGAGCCACTGTCCTGGCCTCTGTGAGAACACCTGCCAGGGGCTGGGCCCTTTGCTAGGCACTTTTCCAGTCTTAGTGCAATGAAGAAAAGACAGGACAGGGGCCCACTCACCATCTTCCTGATTCTTGCAGGTGCGATGCAAGGTCTTGCAGGTCTACATCTCAGCCTGCTTCCACTCAAAGCCTGGGCATAAGTGGGTCCTGGAGGGCAGATCAGGTAGGGAAGGAGAACTGTAGGGTTAGGGGAGCATTGCTCTTCTAACTGCTGTAAGAATAGTGAGGTGGTAAGCAGAGGGCCTGGAAGTCTTATCTCTGGTGCAGGGATGTGGAAGAACTAACAATGAGAAGAAAAGGACTTTAAAAAGACACTCCTCTCTATATCACTGCTTTCCCCAAAGCTTTTAGCAGAGCATACCTGACCCCACGGGCTTGGCCTACCTTTTTACTCTGTTGGGGATGAAGGTGGCAGTAGGAGCACATAATGATAAACCTGTTTTTTTTTTTTTTCAAAGCAGTGCTCTTTGTACCAAAATATTTAATGAATATGCTTTTAAAATAAAACCAACAAAAGAAATAGTAATACAATTTTACTGGTTTATATTTCAATTCATCAAGTTGACACACGGAAACTACCCTAGCACAATGTCCACGCACCTAGCATTAGATGGGCTTACAGCTGTTTTGGTAACGGAACAAGAAAGACACAGAAAGCAGCGGAGGGGATGATTGGGGGGAGGGGGTTGCCACTTGTTACCTCCCTTATCAAGGATGACCTCAGCAAGCATTAGTACAGCCAGCAAGAAAAGAGCTACAAAACAACCCAAGTGTCATTATATACAAACCAGTGCCTCTTGTAACCCAGCCACCTCCACACTGAATGCAGAAGACAAGATCTGCAAATCAGCCTGTCAGTATATCACTATATAAATTAAAAGTTTGTCTTTAAAGGTGCTAAAAACTCTGTTCCATAGCTTTGAAGTGAGAACCTGCAGCCTGCCTGAGTAATGATGTCTGCACCCAACCAAACTTTGGGAGGGCTCAGAGGCCCAGCCCATCAGCGAGGGACCAGGCCAGGAGGATAGTGACTTCACAGAATGTACATCTTGCACATTCTCACACTTACACAGACACATGACTCAGTTTTTCTCACTTGAACAACTGTTGTGCAAAAACACTAGGAACTTTGATGCGAGGGAGTTCTTCTGTGAACAGAGCCAAAAAGATCTTGAATGAAATTAAGTGCCCAAATAACCACATAATTAAGCTGTGCAGGTCAGCAGTCCTAGTTTGGGATTTAAACACCGTCAGTTGGGTATACTGGAAAAGTTATTTGTATACACACACACACACACACACACACACACACACACACACACACACACACACACACACAGACACACTAAGCAAAATAAGATTTGTCCACATTATGACTAATCCATTCTCACAGTCAAGTCACCCACCCCAGCCTTCTGAAGTCATTTGGCAGCTAATGCTAAAAAAATAACAGGAATATGAGAGTTGCATAGAATTGATCAGAAACATGAATAATGCCAAGCCAAAAACCTGTGCATCATATATTTTAACAGAACTAGGTGGTTTCAACTACAACTATGAAACCCTCATTCAAAACAAAGTGCTTTTTCATGTCTACCTGGGGCTTCTGCTTACGCTGAAGCAGGTAAGATTTATTTGAGTTTCTGATCCCTCGCTCTCCTCCCCCTTTTATATGTGTGTGTGTGTGTGTGTGTGTGTGTGTGTGTGTGTGTGTGTGTATAGGTACATATATATGTACCTATATATACATATTTTTTTTAATTAAAGGTTTACAAAATAAATCAACAGACTGAAGGATCCCCAAACTCTGATCGTGTAAACTCAGCCTTGAGGCTGGGTGAGGTGTTGACCTACACGGGGAGGAGGCCTGGGAGGTCTCACTGAGGAGTGATTTCTAGAGTGTCCAGAGCATCAGCTGAGCTAGCAGGCCTGTTAGTATCAGTAGTCTTACCCCAAAGGCTGCCTGCTTCATGAGCCCTGGTCCAATGACCTACCAACATGCGCCTATGGATTTGACAGATACATTCTGGTCCTGGGACAAGTCACAGAATCACACATCTGGCCAAAGAAGGCAACAAAAGGTGTCTTGTTTTCTGAAGGTGTCTGGAGGCGGAAGCTGCTCTCAGCAAGTCTCTTTCCCTTGAACCCCGGTTGCTGTCTTTATGGAGCTCAGTGTTCGGTTAAACCATGTCTTCTTGGCTGCCTGCACCTCATTGAGGGCAAGGCCTAAATGGTGCTCCAAGTCCTGCAAGAGGAACAGTGCGGTGAGAATGCTGGGCACACTGTTAATGGTCATGCCTCCCCAGAGCTGAGCCCAGACAAGAATTCAGTCTGTTTGTTCTGGAGAGGCCTCTGGAAATATCCCCAGTCTTAAACTGGCATAGAAAGGCCTGAAATGTCTAAAGATTTGGGAGCTTTCTTAGTTGAGACCTCATTTCTTGCATGTTCGTTCTATCTGTCTATCGATCTATCTATCCTATTCTATCTATCTACTCTATGTTTTTTGAGTCGGAGTCTCTCTCTATCTATCTATCTATCTATCTATCTATCTATCTATCTATCTATCTATCTATCTATCTATTCTATTCTATTCTATCTATGTTTTTTGAGTTGGAGTCTCACTCTGTCGCCCAGCCTCGACCTGCTGTTCTATCTATCGATCTATTCTATTCTACTCTATCTATCTAATCTATCTATGTTTTTTGAGTCGGAGTCTCACTCTGTCGCCCAGCCTCGACCTGCTGGGCTCCAGCGATCCTTCCGCCTCAGCCTTCCAAGTAGCTGGAACTATAGGCGTATGCTACCACGCCCGGCTAATTTTTTATTTATTGTGGAGATGAGGTCTCACCAAGTTGCCCAGACGGGTCTCAAACCCGCGGGCTTAGGCAATCCACTCATCTCAGCCTCCCAAAGGCGCGGGATTACAGGCTGAGCCACCAAGCCCGGCTGCATGTTCTATTTTTAAAAAACAATCTCCTACTTTGGTATCTCCCTTTTCTGTCCACCCAGGGCACACCAGACAGATCAGCGAGTACCCTAGCACTGATTACATCATCAAATTCCATCAAAAACCTTTAAAATCTAAACTCCCTAGTGTGGCATTTGAAGTACATCACATTCGGGGTCCACACACTCTTTTCCAGCCTTTGTACCACCTCCATCCCTATCTTTAAAAAGGAACTCCTGAGGCCCTTACTGGGCAGGCCCTCTCCTCCCTGTGTTGCTGAACATGCCTGGAGTGCTCACTGCTCTTTCTCTTCTGCAGCTGCAGTCCCTGTTCATCCTCGGATCATAGCACAGCTCCTGCTATGCTATGCCTTTCTAGACTAAACTGGGCAGCCACACTGCCAGGCTTTTTCCCAGCACTTAGAACAGGGCCTGGTACAGTGCAGATGCCCAGTGAACATGTGATACGAGGGAGACTCAGCCCTAAGCTTTTGTCCTGAAGTTGGTTCCTTCCACAAACAGTGCTTAGTGCTTACTGGTGCTGGTGGGTCTAGCAATGCAGTATAAAGATAACCAAAATAAGTCCTAATTTCTTCGTCAGGAACAGAAGCTCAGATAAATTGGGTAATATGCCCAAAGTCACAGATCTAGTTGTGATGGGAGTTGGAACAACAAAACTCACATTATAAAGCTCCCATCATTTGTTCAGCCTTTTCTGCACACTGTCTTATTTCGTCCTCAAATCAACCTATTGGACAGGGACTCTCATCACGTCCCTGTATAGATGAGGACCCTGAGGTGTAGCATTACTAACCCAAGGTCAAAGAGTGCAGTGGTGGAGCTGCATTTTTAAAGCATGCGTTTTCAGTCCCACCACAAAGGTTCCAAGCTTTGTGGGTAATTGTCAATATGACAAAGTTCAAATCCTCAGGCCAAATACTGATTAAACATCAACTGGTAAATAACACGCATTGGGCTTCTTTCCCCTCACCATAAATATATCCCTTTCTGGGGTTTCTAGTCCACCTCAGGAAATCTAGCTCATAAGCACGTGTCTGAGCTCCATTGCTCTTACCTGTATCTTACACTCGGCTTCCACCAACTGGAGTTTGGTTTGTGCCAGTTCTAGTTCCATCTCTCTCAGCTGGTTCTTGAGTGTCTCTTTCTCTTCATCTGTGTCCTCATCTAAAACCTCCTTGGTTGAGCTGATGCCCTTTACACACCCTTCTTTGTTAAAAAATTCTCGACAGCGCTCACAGTCATCCACTTTTTGCTGAAATAGAATGTCAGATGTGAAGAGGCGAAGAAGCAGCGAAGCTACGATATGTGAGCATCTCCTTTGGGGAACACTGAGAGGCAGCTTCTCTGCTGAGCACTGCTGTTTTTGAAAACTAGCAGATAACCTACTGGAAGAACCACCTGGTATTATATACAAAGAGCAATAAAAATACTCTTGTCTTGATACAGTAATCTCATTTCAAGGAACCCAGTCTACAAAAATGAAGCCATGACTAGACAAAGATTTATGCACAAAAATTTTCACTGCGGAACTGGAGATAGGAAAAGTGGGGGAGGGTGATACACTATCTAACTGGGAGCAATTAAACATACTGTGCTAACTTTATACAAGGAAGTATACAGCCTCTAAAATGTTTTTGAGGGATTTTTCATAGCATGGGAAAATAGATAAATCCCGATTGAAAGACAAGAACACACAGTATATAAAATACGGTCACAAAACATATACCGTATCTCATCAAAATAAGATGCTACTGACTTTTAGAAACATCAACTTTATATTACTCTAAGAAAATATTCTGCCAATTAAACCAAAAAAGGCAGTTATAAAATGTCCCACTTCTAGAGATGTAAATGTTAAAAGCATATCTTAGAATGAATAAAATTTTATATGTTAAACACAGAACAAAGACTGAAAGAATAGATACCCAAGTGTTAATAATGATAACAATCTATGGATAATGAGATTATAAGGGTTGTTCCTCTTATTTACCAAATTTACTGCAAGGGTATTAATGTTTTAGAATAAAAATAAGTTATATTTAAATTTTATTAAATTATATATCTGATTAAACACTAATTATGATAGAGGACAGTGTCATCTTGCTCCAGGTATAATACTGCTTTGTGCAAACATGGCCATGAGTACTGCTGTCCACTGAATTGAAAATGTTAATAAGGCATCTTTTAGTGAATTACTCATCTTAGTAAAATTTGACAAATACTCTAAATACTTGTATAGCTTAAAGAAAGAAAGCCCCCAAACTGGTAAGAGAACATTAAAAAAACTAAGGTCCTAAGCCAAGCGTGGTGGTGCATCTGTAATCCCAGATACTCAGGATTGCTTGAGCCCAGGAGTTTGAGTCCAGCCTGGGCAACACAGTGAGACCCTGTATTAAGCAAAATAAATTAAATTAAAAATAAAAAAAAATTAAAGTCTTCATTGTATTTGGATCCATTATAGCGGAAAGAATGCACTTATGTCTCTGTTCTACAGAACAACACTGGAGAGTGACAAGTCATAGCATGCAATCCTGACCTCTACGCCCCAGCCTCAAGCAAAACCTATTACTTGCAGCGCTCCTTCACCTCAGCAACACACTGTAGCAATCAGATGCCTTACTGACAACATGTGGAAATCTTGGGGCACTTGTATTTTGAGATAGAAAGCCAGAGCTCTTTTGGTCTCGCCTTCACTCCCAGAGAAAAAGGCCTAATGTTAGTTGTCAGTTACCGAACCAAGCCCTCCAACAGGTGCCTTATCATGTATTGCTTCTGTTACTTTTGAAATCAACTGCCTCCTCCTGTAAGGCAACACAAACTCAGTGACAACAAGAACACACCGTGGATATGGCCCCAAGCAGGGGGCTGGAGCCTGGGGAGGGGTCCTGGGACAGCCAACGAAGGATGTCCCCTTCCCCTCAGGCTTGGTGCCTGGGCACGCAGGCCATACTGAGGCCACGGTGAAGTGTTCTCGGCTTGCTGACCACATCTCGCATCTGTGCATAGTGAATGTTCTCACATACCCTTCCCTGAGGCAGTCAGTCCGGGTTGGTTCAGACTAGATCGGACACACCCGGATCAATGTCTATAACCTTTGGTTACCTTTAGCTCATTATACTACTAAGAACCCCATGCAGAGAGAAATCACAGCCATTCTGTGCACCTACACACTAGAAACCTGACCCTTTTCACGCTTAACCCTACTCTACCTGTGGAAAATGCCATATAACCTGTGTGCCTTTTACATTTAGTTGAGAGTGGTTTTTCTTGACCAGTCCAGCTGTTCTTGGACCACCTCCCCTTTAGGTAAGTTCCTGAATAAAGCCTATGTCTCATCTGTTGTTTCCAGGTCATTTCTTCAGCCTCTTGAACACAGTGCCTTCCCTTTTGGGGTACTTGGGAGCCTGGCACTATACCTCCCCAAATCTATTGTGCTGAATACAGCCATAAAATGAACTAAGTGGTATAAAATCTCTTTGGTAAAGGTAAGTCTTACCCGAATTTTCTCAATTTCCACTTTATTAGCTGTCTGCTGCTTCTCCAATCTTTCACTCAACTGAGAACAAATCTAAAGAAATAAACATAAAATGACAATCTTTCAAGCAATGCAATTATGTGCACAATTTAGGCTTGGGATAAATTCTATAGTGGAAGGTAGAATATGCCAAGTGTTATTAATACAGTATCAAACAGACTGCCACTGCTTGGGAGGGTGTATAACAGATGAGAATGTCCTCCAGCTTTGCCACCTTGCATGTGTCAACCCAGGACTTGTAGAAACTTACTGGCACCACGCTCAGTGGCCAGTGGTTGCTGAACACCTGCCATACTCACAGGCCAGCATGTGATCCCGGTGTAGAAAGGAAACTCAACCAGCCAGGGAGAGAACTGGTTTACAATTATATGTAAACATAAGTTCATACTTCGGAATCTGAAATGCTCCCAGAAACACACTGTGGCTTTCTTTTATTAAGTACCCACTATATGCTGGGCACTATACCAGATAGATACTCTACAATCATGGTCTTTTTAAATCCTCACAATCCTCCAAGACAGGGACTATTTTCCTTAATTTACAGTGAGAGTAAATGAAGTCCCTTGTCAATGCAAGGGGCACAGCCATGATTTGATACAGAGTGCTTAAGCTTCTGGGTTATTACCCAGGGAAGCAGGGCTTTCAGACTGCACAGCCCAATTCCACAGTACTGGAACTCACCTGCTTGTAGTCACCGATGATAGAACTGTTTTTTTTAATCTCAGATTCTGCCTTGTCAAGTTCCCGACGACACATTTCTTTTAACTGCATACATAAAAAAAGCAAAAATGAGTGCTTTAATGGAAAAATAAAGGAAGTTCTGTCACCAACTGCTTAGTGCTAGGCTTTCTAAAAAGTGCCTGACCAAACTTTAGAAAGGCTCCAATTCACCTCCCTTCTTCCTTCCCTCTCAGCAGTACTAATCCCCTATTCTTGATGCCAGTAGAGGGAGAGAACTGTCAAAACTTATGAAAATGTCAGATTCCACTTCAGGTTGGGGTTTCTGCTGGAGTTCTTCCCAGCAGTGCAACTCAACCTGTGCACCTTTGCTGAGAATGCAGCATAAATCCAACACAGACCAAAGAGCTAATGAGAGGGCTGCAGTTTCATCAGCACTACAAGGTTATGCAGAAAATGCTTTGACATCTGTCACTCTAGCCAGTCCTGAACAGTGGTTGTGCGGGGGAGAGGAGGGTGGCTCCAGGGCACATAGCACTCGTGACTGCAGGTCTGTGTCCCCAGTGACTGTGGAGCACTGGCTCAGAACAAGACTTCTCCCAAGTTTGCTCTATGAGGCAGACATCAGACAACATATAGGGAACAGGCCAAACATTATATGATGTGTGCTTTCCTTCTGCAGAAATACTAACCCCTCTTTCTTTGTTACACTCAGCTGCTGATATATAGGAAATTCTGCTGCCCCAACTAGGGATAGGCTTTGACCTTTTGTCTCTTTAAGATCCATTATACTTTACACAGTAGGGGGGAAAAAAGGCTTTTGAAGAGAAACTGAAACCAGCTGTCTCCAGGTTCTCCAGTGCCAACAGGAAGCTACCAGCTGAACTTCCAAACTTTCAAGCATTTGCAAGACATAGGGATATGGTAGAGTCCTCTCACCTGAGCAGACTCTTCTTCCAACCGCCTTTTCTCTTCTTCTGCATCGATCAACTTCTGTTTGGTCATCAGCAGTTCCTTATTCAGTGCATCTGCCTTTTCCTCAGCCTGAAACATTTAAAGATACACTGTCACAGAGTAAGAATTGAGAACTGAAAAGGGTTTACATTACCTAGCACAATCCTATTTTAAGATGATGGGGAAACTGATTCAGAGAGGGTAAATGATATCCCCAAGATTGTAAGAGACTACACTCATGCAGCAGTGTCTAGCCCAGTCTTTTGAACAGAGGTAGTGCAGGGCAATAGGTAGGAGCTCAGAATTTGGCATCAGACAGCCTGGGCTCAATTCCCATTGTTGATGACCATATGCCACTCAGACAAGACACTGAGAACTCTCTAAGCTTCAAGTTCTTCATCTGAGGGATAAGGCATGAAAAGCACTCAGTACAGTGCCTGGCATATAGTAAACACTCAGTAAATATTAGGCAGCTATTGGCTGGTTACGGTGGCTCATGCCTGTAATCCCAGCACTCTGGGAGGCCCAAGGCAGAAGGACTGTTTGAGCCCAAGAGTTTGGGATCAGTTTAGGCAACTGCACCTCCACAAAAAAATAAAAAAATTAGCCAAGTGTGGTGATGCCAGTTACTTGGGAAGCTGAGGAGGAATGATCACCTGAGCGCAGGGGATGGAGTCTGTGGTGAGCTGTGATTGTGCCACTGCACTCCAGTCTGGGTGAAAGAGTGAGACCCTGACTCTGAATGAATGAATAAATAAATAGGCAGTTGTCATCATCATCATCATCATCATTACTGAGTCAGAGTCTCACTCTGTTGCCCACACTGGAGTGCAGTGGCACACTCATGGCCACCTCAGTGTCAACCTGCTGGGCTCGGGTGATCCTTCCACCTCAGCCTTCCAAGTAGTGGGAACTACAGGCACATGCTACCATCCCCGGCTAATTTTTGATACATTGTAGAGACAAGGTCTCATCAAGTTGCCCAGGCTGGTCTCGAACCCCTGGGCTCAGGCAATCCTTTTGCCTCAGTCTCCCAAAGTGCTGGGATTACAGGCTTGAGCCACCGTGCCCAGCCATTATTATTAATAATAATAAATTCTAGTTTTCTTCCTCCAAACTGTCTTCTGCTTTATCCAACAAGTTCTGCATTTTGCTCTCGCTGTCATCTGATAAGGGAGGCTGCCCCTTTTCTGGCACTTTCTTTATATTATACTTAATGGCTACCCTCCACCCTAGTCTTTTTCTAAAGCATGAAAAGGTCTGGTGAGCAGATTTGAGACCCAGTAAAAAATGATTATGCCTGTGCTGACATGTGAGTTACTGACACTAGTCACTCCAAGGACAACTAAAGAATGACTGACTATACCACATTAGAGAACAACACAAACTAACTATAGAGGTCTCTGCTGGGTTTCTTATATACAACCTCCATTGGCAGCGGATGTGGTTTAACTGAAATTAAACAACGTTTCTGACTTCACCTAGGTAATGAGGTGTAACTGTGCCCCCGAGCTTTCCACTTCGCTCCACTTCCTCTCCTATATCTTCTTTGGGAGGAACAGGTTCCAGAAGGCTGGGACCTTATATGGGGAATTGAGAATGGCACGATACGCAAACTCACGATATACATAAATTACTGGCAAACTTCACATGAACACAATTAAATGGGGTCCTACAGTTGGTTTAAGACCTGTCCTTCCTGGGGAGTAGCTTCTCATCTCCTTCTCTACCTAAAACCCAAAAGCAATTGATAGGAAAACAAAGAGAATCAAATAACTGGGGAAATAACAAGTAAGGAAAATGGAGTCCTGTTAAAGATTCTGTTTTACTTTAACCGGTGGAACAACCTATATTCTCTCCCCTGGACTCGGCTAACATCTTTTGAGCACACTTTGGAGCATGTGCCACATATTATGTTTTCTCCTCTTCTCACCATCACTACCATGGTAGATGATAATTAATACTAAGACTGATAATCAACACTAAGAAGTATGGAAAAGCCAGGTGATAAACTGGGTCTTCTTAACTCAAGAATTTTCACTGCCCACCCACCCTGACTCCTCACATTTATAAAGCAGTTAGGTAGGGAAGTGGCTTCCCCAAGCTCTCACAAGTATGTAGCAAAGCTGGAATCTGAACAGATTGTCTGAAATTTAGCCCAGGGTTTGTACCTCCACTCCCAGAGCTGGCTCTCAACATCATGCCAATGGAAGGTACAGAGGCTCCTGGACTGACTCAACAAGAGTACTCTAATGGCACTCACCCACTGCATGGTCACTCTACATACACACACGAAGAGAGAATATCTGGTGGTGATAAACACAAAGCCAGACTTCTATTTCTAGTCATGAAGGACTATCAGGGACAAGATTTATCTTCCCACTATAAACAGAATACTGGACAAAATATATAAACAACTGTTTTCAGACACTGCAAACAATATATGCAGAACTGTGGTTCCTGGGAGGAAGAAAACAAGGTGAGTCCTACTGTCACCCTGGCTTTCAGCCCAGGTTCCAAGCAGAGCATGAAGGCCTCAAAGGGGGAACGAGGCAGGCAGTTAGGAGGTCAGGGCAGCTGAGGTGGCTGGATGCTATGGGGCAGGGCTCTGAAGAAAAATGAGCTCTGGAACAGCTTAACAGGCAGTAGAGGAGATAAAGTGAAATAATGAAACCAAAGGATGCAGAAAAAGAATTTAAAAAACCCAAAGCAAAAAGGACAAATAGAAAACAAGTTCTCACTTGGACAAAACAAAAACCTATTTTACATATAAAGACATAGATAATGTCAAATGTAAAAAGATATACATATCATGCAATACCATGAAAGTTGGAGTAGCTAAATGAATACTAGAAAAAGTAGATTTCAGAACAATGAGTATCACAAGAGATGAACAGTACATTTCATAATGATAAAAAAAGTCACTCCATTAAGAAGTATAACAATTCAAAATGTATGCAGAAATTCAAATTACATAACTGAAAGGAGAAAAAGAAAAATGCAGAGAGCCAGAAACTTCCACACTGCTCCCTCAGTAAGTAACAGAACAAACAGAGAGAAAATCAAGTTGTTTTGTAGAAGACTTGATCAACACTATCAACCAATTTGACCTAAACAAAGAAAAATTTCTGGGAAAAATCTAATAATCGGAAATTAAATTATACACTATTAATTAACTCATATGGGTTAAGGAAGAAATCACAAGAACTGAATGAAAGTAAATATACAGCATATAAGAATGTGTGATGTACCTGAAAATAGTACTTACATGGAGACATAACTTTAAATGCTTATTTTAGAAAAGAAGTTCAAAATCAAGCTGTCTCTTTAAGAAGCTAGAAAAACAGCAAATCAAACCCAAAGAAAGGAAATAATAAAAAGCAGAAACCAATAAAACAAAGTAATAGAGAAAAATCAATGAAACCAAAAGGTGACTTTTGAAAAGATCAACACAACTGATGAACTTCTAGTTAGATTAAGGAAAAAAGGGAAAAGACAGATCCACATCAGGAACCAAAGAGGGAACATCTCTACAGATTATATAAACATTAAAATAAGAAAATATCAAAAATATCAACCTTATGTCAATATACTGGACAAGTAAGATGAAAGGGACAAATTACTTCAAAGACACATATTATAAAAATGGACACACGAATAATTAAAAATTTATATAGCTCCATATCTAGAAAGAAACGGAATTCACAATAATTAAATTAAATAATTTAAGTTATTAAACACTCTAATTCGAAGTAATTAAATTAAATAATTTAGTTATTAATTAAATTAAATAATTCCAGGCCTACATGACTTCACTAGGAAACTAAAGATATAACCAAAGAACAATCCTACACAAAGTCCTTAAGAATATAGGAGGAGCTAGACATGGTTGCTCACCCCTGTAATCCCAGCACTTTGTGAGGTGGAGGTGAGAGGATTGCTTGAGCTCAGGGGTTTGAGACCAGCCTGAGCAACAGGGCAAGACCTCATCTCTACAATAAATCAAAAAATTAGCCAGGCATTGTGGCACATGCCTGTGGCTCCAGCTACTTGGAAGGCTGAGGTGCCTGGGTGACAGAGTGAGACTGACTCAAAAAAAAGAAAATAGGATGGAATACTTCCCAGTTCATTTTATGAGGCAAACATTATCATGACAGCAAAACCAGACAAAAACATTAAAAAAAACTCCAGATAAATATTCCTTATGAACATAAAAATATTTAATAAAAATTAAAATATTCAATAAAAAATATAATTGCCAGGTGGGGTTTATCCTGCAAATGCAAGGCTAGTTTACATTGAAAAATCAATTAATTTACTTCACCATATTAGCAGAACTAAGGAGAAATACCAAATAATTATCTCAATAGACACAAGAAAACATTTGACAAAATTCAATACCCATTCATGACAAAAACTCTCAACAAACAGAAATAGAGCAGAACTTTCTCAATCTGCTGTATGAAAAACCTACAGCTAACATCTAGAACAAGGCAGTTGATATCCACTCTTACCGTTCAGCACTGTTTTTGAAGATCCAAGTCAGTATAGAGGCAAGCAAAAAAAAGGGGCAGAAAACCTTGACAGGAAGTAAAACTATCTTTATTCCAAGATGTGTATTTATTTTATTGTGTATGTAGAAAAATATGTTAAAGTATATTAAAAAGTTACTGGACTAATAAGTGAGTTTAGCATGGTCATGGGATACAAGGTCACAACACAAAATCAACTGTTAGTCAGGCACAGCGGCTCATGCCTGTAATACCAGCACTTTGGTATGCTGAAGTGGGAGGAGTACTTGAGCCCAGCGTGGGCAACATTGTGAGACCTCAGCTCTACAAAAAATAAAAATAAAATAAAAAAATAAATAAATTGTATTTCTAGAGACTAGCAATAAACTAGAAAAAGAAGTTGTAAAAACAAAGCCACTTTACAATATATTAAAACATGCACAAGTCTTGTAAATTGAAAACTAAGAAGTATTGCTAAGAAAAAGTCAAAAAGACTTTAATAAATGAAAATTATAATGTGTTCATGGATTAGAAGGCTCAGCTATTGTTCAGATGTCAATTCTCCCCAAATTTATTTATAGATCCAATGAAACCTCACTCAAAATCCCAGAAGCCTTTTATTTCCAGAAATTGATAAGCTGATTTCAATATTTATATAGAAATTCAAAGGACTCAGAGTAGCCAAACAATTTTTGACAAGATTAACAAAATTAGAGGACTCACAAGACTTGGTTTTTAGATTCATTACATAAAACTAAGTTAACCAAGACTACTGGCATAAGGATAGAATCAAGAAGTAGACCCACTCATATAGGGTCAATTGATTTTTAATAAAAGGGCCAAGGTTAATTCAATGGGGAAAGTTTAGCAAGCTGCTCAAGATCACGGAACTAGTCAGCAGCAGAGCCAGAGTTCACATTCCAGCAAGTGGGCTCCTGAGTCAGTTTCCTGCACTCATGCCTGTCTTAATGTAGAGGGGCAACCGTGCTGGAGGGGACTCAGACATGGTCCTGTCAGCCTTGTCAGGGACCTTCCGTTCCCTCTCATTCTTTCAGCACCAGTGTCAGGTACAGTCATTACTCCCATTTCATAGAGAAAGCTTCATTGGGGTTACCCAGGGATTAAGTGACTGACGTGGAATTTCTCCACAGCTTCCGTGTGAAGAATAGCAAAAGTGACAGGTGATGAATAACAAAAGTGATGTAAAATCAAGTGGAAATATAAAGAGGGCTCTGGAAACTGTAGTCCTCAGAACAGAGCTTTTCTGTGGGAGGCAAGAAGGAAAGAGCTGAAAGGAATCAGATTCTTTCAAAAACCTGACTGAAGCCGGGCTCGGAGGCTCAGCCTGTAATCCCGTGTTTTGGGAGGCTGAGATGAGTAGATTGCCTGAGCCTGCGGGTTCGAGACCCACCTGGGCAACTTGGCAAGACCTCATCTCTACAATAAATCAAAAAAAAAATCAGCCGGGCACGGTAGCACATGCCTGTAATTCCAGCTACTTGGAAGGCTGAGGTGGAAGGATCGCCGGAGCCCAGCAGGTCGAGGCTACGGTGGCCGGGAGCGGCCACTGCACTCCAGTCTGGGCGACAGAGTGAGACTCCAACTCAAAAAACAAAACAAAACAAAAACAAAAAAACAACAACAAAAGAAAACCTGACAGAATACTGATGCTTTTTAGTGTGCAGATACCAGATGATTCAGCCATAGTTCACATCTCGGTAGATACAAGTTAGAGGAAAGTGCAGTTATTATATCTGAAGTATAGTGTATAGCTAAAAAATGTCCTATAATGATCTGTAGGGCTAAGTAAGCTCCTAGAAGTAAGCCAAAGTCTGACTGAGTCCCTGAAGTAAAAAAAAAAAAAATGAGAAGACTCCACGCTTCTTCCTTCAGTGAAGAAGAACCTCGCTGATTTTCAGTGATGATTCAAAACAAACTAGAGAGAAGTCTAACTTGGAAAGGGAAAGTTAGTGTGGCAGAGGTTTGTCTCCTCAGCATTTTAGATAGCTGGAGGAGCCAAGTTTGACACTCCTGAGCCCTTGTCAGAAGCGTGGTTAGAAGCGTGAGCTATGGTGTCAGGCCATCAATCTCCTCAGCTGACCAGCTTGGTGAGCTGTGCAAGATATTAACCTTTTTTTGTTGTTTCCTCATCAGTATAATGGGGATCATAATTATATCCCTTCGACAGCATGGACTACGTTGAGGATTTGATAATATATACAAAGCACTTACAACAGTGCCTAGTACTAGGTAAGTGCTCAAAATGTTAGCTGTTATGGTCAGAGCCACTGGGCCTCCCAGCATGTTTTTGATGTAGTTAATGGCATCAAATCATAGTTTCTTGACCCATACTTACTGTGGAGATAGTCTGATACTGTAGATCAAACCCGGGCACTCCAGTTAAATGGGCCTGGGTTAGATTCCCGGCTTTGTGTCTTCCTGAATGGTGTCACCCCTGATTTTCAAGTTTTAGAAATGTTTAAAAAAATCCTCATCCATAAATGAGTCTCATTTACTGTCCTCACAGGGCTGAGGTAAGGATAAAGGATATAAGAGTTTTCTAAAGTGCTTTCAGTAGTGCCTGGCACCATAACTTATCAGTCAATGGGATATGGCTATATATACTGTCAATATATTTTTATTATTTCCCCCTTATGATATCAGGAATGTAAACTAGTTCTTTGACTACTGTGTCACGATAAGACAGCTTGGAAAAAATGTTTACACTGTTTAAGAACATAAGTAGTCTTGAGCCCACTTCAAACTAGTAGGATGTCAATGTTATTACTGGGCCTATCAGCGCAGTAATGCAACAGCTCAAACTACAAATCCACCTAGAATCTTAGCCTAAGCTGCCTCTTAATTGCATTGTTGAACACAAAAACTCCTGTTCAGGACCCATTTTCTTTTATTTCCCTTTTAAACCTCATTTCTGCATGATCCACAGCAGCGATGAGGTCCCTGTTTGGTGTGCACCTCTGGCCCTCCCTCCACTCACTAGGCAGAAATGCCTAGTGAGAGAATGACTCATAATGTTTCTACAACGAGGAACAGAGAATATGATGGGAATCTGCACCATCAGGAGGACACTCAGCCCTGATCAGCAGATTGTGGTAAGTTAAAAAGCAGTCAGGGAGCTCAGGTTCTGGTCACTAAGGGCTAATGACCTTGAAATATACTCCCTGCAAAAACTGGAAATAAGAGGCTTCCCAGTTTCATGCAGTTATCTGTAGAAGACAAGCAGATGAAACTAACACTGCCTGTGCCTAGATTTCTTTTTATGATCTTTTTTATATATACCAAATTATGTAATTCTTGCTATACCCTGTGATGTGGCTATTATTCTACCTCCCCACATTTATAGGGTGTTCAAGGTGAGCTGTAAGTAGAGAAGCTGGTCTATCCAACAACGTCTACTCCATCCTTTTATTTCTACAGAGAAGTAATAAGAACTGGGAGATGCTACAATCTCTCTCTCCATCTCACATGTTAACCACTTTTGGGATCTAATGAAACCACAGACTTTCTGCCTATGAGAATCTAATGAAAGCATAGCCTTTCAAAAAAATGCATAAGTACACATAATTTTCATATACTTTAGATGGATATCAAGGACCTCCTGAAGTTCATGGCTCCTATGGGGTTTAATATATATAAGATCCCTGTAAACCCTCAATAGTGTGAGCCTATCCCTAGAAGCTTAGGAAACCAATAGGCAGAAACATAATTCTAGGAGTCTAGGAAATTTAAGTTAGGGGTTAGCAAACTATCATCATGGGCCAAATCCAGCCTGTCACTTATTTCTGTAAATAAAGTTTTACTGGAACATAGCCATGCTTATTCGTTTATATACTATCTATGGCACTGGTGTCTATGGCACCAACAGCAGAATTAAGTAGTAGCAGCAGAGACTGCTGCTCCTTTAAATACTTACTACCTACTCCTTTACAGAAAAACAAAGCCTTAAATACCTATCTATCCCTTTACAAAATATGTTTTCCAACCTCTAACCTACACCATGAGTGAGAGATAACACCACTTCTAAGGTTAGCTTATAGTATAGAAAATGGAAAAGTATTTCTGCCAGGAAAGATATCATCTCAAAAATTTTAAGATTAGGAGAAGCAAAGAGAAAGGGAACATCTGCAAGCAGAAACTACTCATGAAATTGTAAGCTGCTAAGGCACTGGGCTACATTCCAATCAGCAATGCTTCTTCAACAAGCATCAAATATGTAGAATAACAAAATCTCTTGCCTTATGGGAAAGTTAAGGAAATAATGATTAACTGCTACTGCCAATTGTGATAATATAAGAATTGGCCAAAAGATCTCTCAATCAATGTTTGGGGAAGGAGTTCAGGGATTGTGTGCACAATGTGAAAAGTATATGGAAAGGCGGGCCTAATGATATAACTGATAATTCCTGAGGGAAAAGAGGAATGTTAATGGTGACAGGCATGTTGTACCACAGGAAGGAAACTTTGTAGGTGACTAGCTTACAAACACTAAAATTCAAGGACTTCACCTGACTAAGGGAGAAGTCACATTTCTCAACGTGACCTCTCCCTTCAGACCTATTGGACTTACATTATCCAGGTCCTTCCGCAGTGCAATCTTGCTGGTCACCAGCTCATGGGCTAAGTCATCATTTTCCTGTTCCAACCTCATGTTAGCTTCCTGTAGACGCCTATTTTCTCTCTGAAGGGTAGGAAGAAACCAGTTATAGACATATAAAATCAGATGGAAATGAGTTTCTCAGTGCTAAAATTCAAAATGAATTTCTGGGACCGATGGAAAATAATAAGAGCTGTGGCTGGTCCTGATGTGCTTCCAAATCAACAATTTTTTATTTTCTATTGGTATAAAGAAATACTTAACCGATTCAAGTGACCTTGTCAAGCTACTTCTTATTAACTGTGCTGAAAGACCACTGAACTGAAACAAACTAGGCAGCTGGTTTGAAGCAAAACAGATCTTGCTTTCTCATTTGCAAACTCAAACTGAAACGCAAACCTAGAAACAGTAGAACTGAATGTTAAAAAGACATAATAAAGCTAGTTACAGGCACAATTATATAAAATGAAAGGCTGGAATAGAAGCTCCTTACATCATCTACGCCATAGCAAACAAACCTCAAATCGCTCGATGGGGTCTTCTTGCTGGGCCTGCTGTTCTCTCATAGTGTGATATTCTTTTTCATATTTTTTCAACTTTTTCTGACTAATCTGTAGGATAAATCATAGGACAAATTAAGAAGTATTAGAAAGTGGTGGGTGCTTTAGCAACTATACTGAAGACCAAGACTTCTGGTGACCTGGGTGATCTCAGTCACTATAGAAGCGGTAATTTGTAAGCCTAGGACCCCAAATTCTTACTCAACATGTCCAAGGTTCTGCTGGAGATATTGGGTTCCTAATGCTTTGAGTAACAGTGTTCAAATGAACATCCTAAAGATGGCCTCTCCTACCTGAGTTCTGGGTCCTATTTGTTACTAATAATAAGCCACCATTCATTCATTCCACACCAGCACTGCTGCTAAATGTTTTATAACTGTGACCTCACAACTCTACAAGGTATGCTATTATTATCCTCATTTTATAGGCAAATTAACTGAGGTATAAGGAGGCTGGTTATGTAACCTAACCAAGGTCACTCAATAAGAGACTGGCAAATCTAAGACTTGAGCTCAGGCAGTTGGACTCTATCCCAAGTTCAAGCTGTAGCCACCTCACTATCCTACCACCTCTCTATCCTGTGTCCTCTCCCCTACCTTCTTCTATGCTGCTTTCACAGGCAGTTTTCTTTGCCTTAAAAACCCAACTCTGCAGACCACTCTTAGATGCCCTTTCACCTCATCAAACTATTGCGTGCTTTCTCTCATGCTTTTTTTTTTGTTACTGACAATTGCAGACCATAGGCCCATATATCTTTACCTCCATTGCTTCATGGCCTCTCCTTCCTTAATCTCTCTAAATCAGGCTTTTGCTGACTATACTACAGAAAGTACTCGCTTGAAGGTCATCAGTGGTTTCTTTCTTACTCTGTCTAGTGTGTCCTACCTCTCCCTAATCAGACCTCAAAACTCCTTGCCTTTCATACTTTAACATGACCAATCCAAATCCATTTTCTTCTACAAAATCCGTTCTCCCTTTCTTCTCTTGGTTTTCCTTATACATAACAGGTCTTTCTCCTTTTTATTGACTGGTTCCTTCTCTTTGTTCAATCTAACCATAACCAAGGGTGTATCTTCAAGATGCAACTGTCTTTTGATTCCTTCTTCCAAACTGCTAACCATTCCCTATGGTAGTTTTTAAATTATATTTTTTAAAATTATGAGATATAACAGAAAAGTGATAAAACTACATGTTCAACTTAAAGAATGATTAGAAAAACTAATGCTCATTCTTTCTTAAAGCCTCAATAATCAGCACTAAACTGGTGACTGGGAAATCTGCTTGTTAATCCCCAATCCAGGTGACTAAGACCCTCATCTCAGATCTAGTTCAGTCCAACTTCCTTATCTTTTAAATGAAGAAATGAGACCTAGATAAAGGAAGGGATAGGCCCACATTTGCTGTGTGTTGGTACCAGCATCTCTAATTCCCTGTTCTATTATTCCCTTTCCGTCTTATTTGAGCTGCCTGATGTTCCTCTCCTATTGACTCTGTGGACACCGCTCCAAGTTGGGATGTTTGCAAGTCTGCCCCAGTCGGGGTTGGCAGCCAGGAAGACAGCACTCTCCCCTGACTGCCTTCTACAGAGAGAAGCCCATTTGGGGTGGGCCACAAGCTTTTAAACCATTAAACCAGATCTTCTGTGGTTTAAGGCCAAGTATAGGGTAAACTTTTATTGTATACCTAACTGACTCACAAAGAAAGCACCTAAATAAAATGTCCATGAACTCAGTAAATGTATAAGCAATCCTAACAGATCAATAGTAGAGGAACAGAAAATAAATGAGGCTGTAGGCAGCAAACACTTTATCCTATATTCTCTGCAGTCTGAGTAAATGAGAAGGGCAAGTGGTGGGTATGAGGCTCCAGCGCTTTCACGAATTGACACCAAATCCTGGAAAACATTTTCACAAATCTTCAAGATTCTTCAATTTTTCATTCTCATCCTAAGGTAAGGAAGAATTAACGTTTTTCCCATAAATATACATATAATAGGCTAATTACAAAACAATTTCTTCTTTACTTCATTAGCTCTCATTATAACTGCCTCATCCTCACAGAAAAAGGGCTGAACTCTTCCTCAGCATTATAATAACAGTTAATGTGTGATGAGTACCTGGTAAATGCTAGAACCTTTCACCAACCAATATTTCATAATTGCTTCATCTATTTTCATGACAGGATATGGGTGTTTCTTTTCACTTTTCCCATGTTTTCCAAGTTTTCTGCATTGAGCATAAATTATTTTCATAATTTAGAAAAACATTAAAATGCTGTTTAAAAATCAGTCTCGTAATTATTTTGGACTCCTCTAAGACAGAGCTCTGCTTGTTTCTCTAGCTGATGGCCTTCACTTGCTTCTGAATCAGTCCTCAGGGTCATCTCTCAGGTCTGGGTAACACATGGGATTCTAACTTCTTCACCAGCTCAGCCTCTTAATATTCTTCAGCTTCACTCAGGTTCTCTCTTTCTCTCACCCTCTCTTACAATTCTTCATCCCCCACTCCCACCACAAGCAGAACATAAATAAAAACACCATAGCTTCTCACAGGTTCACAGCTGGTGCTGACTTGTGGAGAATGGGTGGATGCACACCAAAGCCATCTAGTTTAGGCTGCCTCTGAAGACCAAACCCAAGAGAAAGACTGATGCCTGATATCTAAATGGGGAACCAGGAGGTGCCAGCGGCAGAAGCAGCAATTTAAGCCTTCCTCTGTGCTGCACCTGAGAGAGACAAGCACCTCTCAGCCTACCTGTCATACTACCAACGCCTTCTCCAAGCCAGAGCTGTGTCTCAATCACTGTTGTTCCCTGCCCATGCATAGGGAATGCTTGATAAGTTAGCGAAAAAGGACTCTCTTCCTCACACTGGCCTTTCTTCTGAATGAAGATGGCATCTAAAGTGGACAAGCAATGCAAGCATGTTCCTTCTGCCTGGACAGCCTCACACATGGCTCACTATTAGTCACATCAGAGCACTAACACTCCTTTAGTAAACCCTTCCCTCACACCAGGCCAGGACTTTCCATGCTGTATGAGTCTTCTCACAGCAACAAGTCAGTTCCTCCAAGGCACCTATCCAAGTTTAGTTACTTAGGTGCTACTTCACTGTCTGTCTCCCCACTAGGAAACAGGCCACATCTGTTTTGCTTACCACTGTATCTCTAGTGCCTAGCTCAATGCTTGGAATATAATTGGGACTCAATAATCAGATGTTAAACAAATCAAAGCTGAAAGTCTTTCTTTTAAATCTAATAAGGATGCATCACAGGCATTTGTTTATCTGACAGTAGAACACTACTATGTCCAGTGTTCTTTGCTAGGCATTAGCAATACCAAGTTGTATCTAGATCCCAATACACAAGCTCCACGAGGGAAGGAATTCCTATTCATTGTGAAATTCCTAATGCCTGTCATACAGTAAGAATGAAAATAATGAATACAGACTTAAAAGTCCGAGATTATTTTCTCTCTCTTACTTATAAAAAATACATTTTAATTGAATTAAGGAAGCAGGAGAAGCTATGGATTCAGTCTCAAAGCTTTAAATCACACCTACTTGTAGCTGACTCCTACCAGAAGGCTTTGGAAATCACAGCTTTGCACAGAGGTATTTTTGTCCTCAAAAAAGATTAAATTTGAAATTCAGTCCTTGTTCTGTTTAAATGTACTTTCCAGGGGGAAAAAACTCTAATGAATTCCTGGGGTAAGATTGGGTTTGTAATTTAGGTAAAACCAATTTTATACCTCACTGCAATTAGCACAGTGGATCTTAACACTGTTAGGGACCACTCTGAAAGTCTCCTGAGAGCTATGGTTCCTCCCCCATAAAAAGAGCATAGATGCCAACTTTCCCCTCTCCCTTCACAATATAACATTCTGCAAACCATTTCAGAGGGCTCATGGGCAAGGGTTAAGAATCTTTGAATTAGAGCAATGGTGGAGACTTGATATGTGCCAGTTTGATATTTTGTTAGAAGCCCTAATTCCATTCAAAACACCTCTCCTTTGATCATTCACTTGTCAATTATTTGTCACATGAATTGGATAATGTGCTGTCTTAAAATCTATGCCACTTGCCCTAGGGAAGCTGGTCTCTCATCAGCCCCCTGGAACAGGAGTGATGTCAAGGATCCTAACAGATGGGGAAAGAGTGAGAGTGGTCACTCACCTGGACAGGAGTTAGGTGGCACAGCCTGCCAACTAAGAGCTTGGGCTTTGCAGGGGGACAGATTAAGGTTCAAGGCCTGGCTCTGCCAGACTTGCTGTGTGACTGAGGAGAAACTCCCTAATCTCCTTAAACTTCAGTTTCCTCATCTATAAAAATCCTGAAAGTCCTTATGGGGGACTACTGTTATGTGGATCAAATGATATAAAATGTATATAAAGTGCTCAGAAAAGTCTCTAGCATCCTGTCCTGAATCAAGAGACAGAGTTATCCTCTGACATGTGCTGCAACAATGGACCATTTAAACAAAGTCCATTTAACAAAAGCATAACATGGGATGCCTTTGGAGGTGGAACTGCTTTCCAAGTTTAGCTCAAAGAAGTGTTGCAAGGTCAGAAACTCTGATGAGTTGGAGTCATGGGGAATCCAGTGAAGGTGGGAGGTTAAGTGTTAGCTCTGCATGGTGAGATGGAAACACGGTGTCTGGTGAGTTGGGTGGATGGTGGGGAGTAAAAGGTCTGGTACATTAAGGAGACTGTGACTCCAAAGTCCTCACTGCTTTGTGTGATATGATTAATAGGAAGTTAAATAAAGAAATTAGATATAGGCTGGGTACAGTGGCTCACGCCTATAATCCCAGCACTTTGGGAGGCCGAGGTGAGAGGATTGCCTGAGTCCATGGGTTTGAGACCAGCCTGGGCAACTTGGTGAGACCTCATCTCTACAATAAATCAAAAAATTAGCCAGGCATGGTGGCATGTGCCTGTAGTTCCAGCTACTTGGAAGGTTGAGGTGGAAGGATCACCTGAGCCCAGCAGGTCGAGGCTGTGGTGGCCGTGAGCGTGCCACTGCACTCCAGCCTGGGTGACAGAGTGAGACTCAA